CTTAATTTGTTTGTACTGTTATTTACTACTACCTGACATGCTGATTTAAGCAACAAGTTCAACTGTGGGTTGCTTGGGACTGTTTTTCTTCGGTATCCTTCCCCCACAATGGCCAACAGTCTGCTAATAGTGAACACTCAAAGTTGAGTTCACATTTTCTTCTGAACTTGCTTCCATTTTTCCTTCCTATTTTAAGCCAGTTGGCTCAATAGAGCCTCTGAACCTTCCCCGCTCAGTTTTTCATCTTTTCTTCAGGGGTTTATGTCTGCCTAATCGAGGTTCAACCCCAGTCAGAAGAGCTGCTGCAGGCCCTCAGTGTGGCTGACACCTCAGTCTATGGGTGGGCCACACTGGTCAGTGAACGGAGCAAGAACGGAATGCAAAGAGCCCTCCTTCCTTTCATCCCAGCCTTTTACATCAACCAGTCAGAACTGATTCTTAGCCACAGACAAGACACCGGGGAGATAAGAGTGCTGGGGGTGGACAGAGTTCTTGAGAAGCTAGAGGTATGTGAAGCACTGAACGAAAACATAACTGAGATCAGGGTTTTGAAAAAGGAGTCTTCATTCCTAGTCCAAGGGCAAAGGAACAGTTCTGGAATGACTTTGATAAAATTCACCACAAGGGGGGAGGGCTCTTAGAATGAAGAAAACCTGTCCTCTTCACAATGCAAGGGTACTCCCAGAGTCCAAAATTTAGGTCATGAGCTTTGTCAGTCTGGAAGATATTAGTATCATCCTAAATAATCTTTATAGTTTAGAACTTTTTTTTTTTTAAAGATTTATTCGAGAGAGAGCATGAGCGGAGAGAGGGACAGTGGGAGAGGGAGAAGCAGGCTCCCTGCTGATGTGGGGCACAATCCCAGGAGCCTGGGATCATGAGCTGAGCTGAAGGCTGACGCTTAACCAACTGAGCCTCCCAGGCACCTCTCACAGATCATTTTCTTCCCTTATCTACTCCAACACATCTGAGTGTGGAAAAGCAGATCACTCATCTTCAGATTGCTAACTAGAAATACAGGGATCTTACTGTACGTTTAAGATTGGAATGCAATATTGATACAAACAAGTGCCATTTTATCTTTTCTCCAAGGTCTTCCCCAGCTCCCCAGTTCTAGCGGTCTCTGGCCACAGACAGTCTTCCCTCACGCCTGGCCTGGCTGTCTATCCCGTAAGAGTAGTCAACTTCACCTCCTTTCAGCAGATGGCATCACCCATTTTCATCAATATTTCCTGTGAGCTCACCAGTCAAAGTGAGGCTGTGCTAGTGAGAGCTCTGAAGGATAAGTCTGGTGCAGGTGAGCACTGGGAGCTCCTGGTGTGTTTGAAGATTTTGAGAGAGGGAGAGCGAGCAAGCTGGGTGAGGGGCAGAGGGAAAAGCGGGCTCTCCACTGAGCAGGGAGCCAGATGCCCCAACTCTGGGATCATGACCTGAGCCAAAGGCAGAGGCGTGACTGAGCCACCCAGGTGCCCCGGGGTTCCTGTTTTTAATCTAGAGTAGGAAAGACCACAGAATGTATTGCTTAATGAGAAATTCAGCCACTTCGCCAAGATTACTCAAACTAGCTGGGGCATTGATCTTTACTTTCCAAGCCTATTTATAACATAACCTTCAGGGAGCTCTCTTATCACCATCAAGATATTCTACTTATATATTTAAGAGTAGTTATCAACTTAACAAGAACTTCTCAGCCTTGTTAAGTGTACTATTTTCCTGTTTTAAACCTCTTGATAAATGTTTTTCTTCAGAAATCTCTGGCAGATCTTTTTGCATCAGGCACTGGGCAAATGGTGATAGTCCTAGAACTAAGACTGCTCCACAAATCCTGATTCTAGCCATTACTCAGAAACTATGCCCGGTCTGGGTGGGATGGGACTGTGTGTATTCATGGAAAAGCGTTAGGAAAGCCAAAGAATCATCCTCCTCATACTGCCACCGCTACCTGCCCATCCCTCCAGATGTTCTTTGAATTAACTAGAAGTGGACTGAACCCCCATTCATCTCCAATGGAAGGAAGGTCTGTTTCTACAAGCACCTGATATGTACTGGCCAATACCCTAAGTGCTTTTTATGTGCATTTGTTCTCTTGTAACTCTAAAGTTTTTCCCTTTAAGAATTGAACAAATGTAGATGCTCAAGGTCCCAGAACTAGAAACAGTGTTCAACTCTAATCTGTGTTCTTTCTGTTGGGAGTTTTTAAATCTAGAGTTTTAATGGGTTTCTGCAAGGGTCCATGGATGGAATTCCAGGTGCCCATGACCTCCATTGAGGAGGAAAAATTGCATCTTTATTTTCAATTAACCTCTCAATAAAGTTTCCATTTCCACTGATTTTATGAATATAGGCAAGAAACCACAGCAATAGCAATATGTGTGACTCTGTCACCAACAGAATTCAGGTATTTTGATGTTCCAGTTATTAGATCTCAAAATTCACTTCAAAGTTACATAAAAATTACAGTAGTTATCAGACTTGAGCCTAGTTCTTGTTACTAAAGCACTCAAAAAAGGCCTTTTTAACATCTTGCTGAGTGTATGTACATAGCTATATCACGAAGTTTTTTCCATCATGGCTAGCTTTGATATAATTGGGTTTCCTTTTATTCCTACACATTTTTTTCCCATTTAAAAACATTGAGATAGGATCCATGGGTTTCACCATACTGCCCAAGTTGCTCACGGCACAATAAATGGTTAAGAACCCCTGCACTTCTCAGAGCTAAGAGGGGCCAGTGAGAACAGTACAACCATGGTGGGTAGGATTGGTCAGACAAAAAGATCCAACCCAGTCTTCAGCTAGCTTATTCACATAGACATGTTGAGTGCCCACTGGTATGTGCCAGGGATGGTACCTAGTACAGAAATCAGATTTAAGACAGGGTCTAATTCAGGAGCTAGTAAATAGTTCATTGTAGCCAGAATAAAGGGGTATTGGAAAGGCTGATCATGTCCCGTAAGTTTTATTTGGACTCTTACCGTATAAACATTGGAAAGCCAGAAGCTTTCAACAGTTGGACCTGATCAAGGATTAGTATAGAGAATCTTGTTTTTAGTGCACTTTATTTCAAACAACCTTAAAAGTGTTCAGAGCAAAGCAGTTTGTAAACAGTTCTGAAACAAAGTACCTTGAGAAGACAGACCAGTTACAAGTCCAAAAGTTAGAGGGCCTATACTAAGGATGCAGAACAGGAACTAGGTAGGAGGGCCTGGTGACAATAAGAGATATATGGGAAGACCTGGAAGTTCAGGGGAGTCCACTGGGGCAGGTGTTCATTTCTAGACACTGAAGAATTTGAAATAACCAAAGTCAAATATCACGTGTGCTTCAAAAACACAAGTTTTAAGTTCTATTGAGGACAATGTTACACAAAAATCTGAATGCTCCCTAGAAAGGACATCCTAAGTAAAGAATGACAAGGGGACCCCTGGATTTAAAAAGTGGTTGGTGATCCAAAAAAGATTTCAGGTTAGAGGGATTAGAATTGGAAGTTCAGTCGCCACAATCACAAATTTGGTGAAGAGAAGTCAGTCATCAGGAAAGGTTAACAGGCATCTTGAGGTAGTAGTGTTTACATATCCATTTGTAAGTTGATAAGAAATACAAGATTCAAAGTTTGGGAGTTTATTACCTGGGAGACAGGAACAAGCCAAAAAGAGGTGGAGGAACCAAGTACATAATTCACCTCTGTTAAGCAAAACAATTTCCCAGAGGGTTGGGTTTTGAGAGCTTCTGCTGGATACCCATGACCATGTGTTTTTAAACACAGCCACCTGCCCTGAATGCTTTAAGTAACTATTACCTTTTATTGTTCTGACCAATGCACAGATCAGTGTGAAGATTCAGGTATTCTCCAGAAGTTCCTGGGTTCTCACCAGACCATCCTCTTTACCATCTTTGCAGTGCTGGCATCAACAGCTTTCATCTTTTTAGGTAAGGAGCCCTTACATTCAGCAACATGGACTTTTGACTTAGAAACTGCCCTCATTTAATTTCACTAGGGCACCTGGGTGGCTCAGTTGGTTAAGCAACTGCCCTCGGCTCAGGTCATGATCCCAGTGTCATGGGATCGAGCCCCGCATCAGGCTCCTTGCTCAGGGGAGAGCCTGCTCCTCCCCCTGCTTGTGCTCTGTCAAATAAATAATCTTTAATTTTACTAACTACGAGGATGCACATTAGCTGTGACAAGCAGTTGGAACTCATTCAGCCTCCCTAATCACCTAGTGGACGAAAGGTCCTGCTCAACTTACCACCAAGAAGCAGTGAAGTGCATATGACAGAACCCCACTTGGAAGTGGAAACTACCGCTAAGCCTTGAGATAATGGTGACATCTGTCCTGTTCTTTTTCCAGCGTATAATGCCTTCTTAAACAAGATACAGACAGTTCCAGTTGTTTATGTACCGACTCTAGGGACACCACAACCAGGTAAAGAATCACCACCCTCACCTCTGAAAAGTTCAAATGTCCACTTTTATTCACACTTCATCTGTTTCCCATTTTTACTTCTAGGTTCTTATACCTCCACCACACGTTCTCCCCCACCTTTCACGAGTCCACAACCCCCACCAGGCCAGAGTCGGCTACAACACTGGCTATGGAGCGTAAGGCACTAACCTCCACCACTTGGACAAATCCCCTCAACTGTAGAGGACTGGAGCCATAAGCCCCCAAACTAGGTGGTGGAACTGTAAATAAAGGATCCTAAGCTGTTCCGAGCTAAAGTGGTGTACGTTAAGCTGTATTTTAAAGGTCGACTGTCAATTCTCAATGCTATGAAAACATAAAAGTGAAAGAAAATATCCATTTACATAGTATCCCACGTTTTTACCAAGTTCCAAAGATTTACTCAGTGAGCCTAGCTGGACAGAGATGTCCCAGATAGACTTTTGAAGTACTTGGCCACTTACTTGCCCCAAATGACTCTAGCAGTCCACTCTTCTGGTTGCCCCTGAGTACTTGAGGTAGGGACTTCCTAGCAGTAAAACAAAGACAATACGCAGGATGTATCCAAAATCTGTTTATTGGGAGGGCGTCCCACTCATCTGGATTCAGGGTGCTTTTAGTGCTGCTTCCGCCTGAAGGAGCATCCTGGAAGACAAAGGTCCCGAGGTTACTTGCCCTGCCCCCCGCCCGCAAAGCAAGGGCACGCCTGACGACCCACCCCCAAGCAAGCTGCGGCTTTCCTGTCCTCTATCCCTGCAGCCGCCGCCTCAGTCGTTTGAGGAACTCGCCACTACCGCCCAAACGAAGACCCTTTCTCTACTCCTCCGCCTCAGCCTTACACCTCAGGGTTTTGACACTAAGGGCCTGGGGCCGCTCGCAATGCTCTCTTGGGGGGCAGGCGAGGGCGCGACCGACCTCCAGCTCCGACAGCCCTCGTGAGGCAGGCAGTAACACGGAGCTGCCAGCGACCGCGTCCGTCCGTCAGCTCACCTTCTGTAAGCCTGGCCTTCCCTCCCGTGGGCTGGCAGAGCACAGTGGAGCAGCCGACGCACAGAACTACCGTTTGCGCGTGGCTGAAGACGGTGGTGATCTTGTAGCATCCTGCGCGGGGACCCCGGGCAGCAGGCGGTTAGGGCCTTGCCGTCCGCGCCCGTGCCCGAGCGCAGGCCCGCGTGCGCGCCCGCCGCCCCCCCTGGCCGTGACGCACGTTCAAGCCCGCTCGG